ACAGGCTGACAACTGGCCTACGCCTCGCCTAGGACAGGCTGACAACTGACCTGCGCCTCACCTGGAACGGGCTTACAACTGGCCTACGTCTCACCTGGATCAGCAAAAAATGCCTCAGGCAAGATATAAAAAAGGTTACAGTGCCAACTGCATGTTGATCGGTTCTCTTAACCACATCTTCGTTAACGCAGATAGATCCATCTTCCCGCACTACCTACCGAGTCTCAGAATATCAGAGCCTTTTCAGACCCTCTCACGCAGGGAGATCCACCTTCCCGCACTACCTACCGAGTCTCAGAATATCAGAGCCCTTCAGACCCTCTCACGCAGGGAGATCCATCTTCCCGCACTACCTACCGAGTCTCGGAATATCAGAGCTTTTCAGACCCTCTCACGCAGAGAGGTCCATCTTCCCGCACTACTCGTCCAGCCTATCTCTTTTTTGTACACAGCAGCTCCTCCCACGGTATAACTACTATTCATAAGCTCATCTCTCGTTACAAGCATCGCCCATAAGCGCATCCCCCACCATCGCCATCGTCCATAAGCACATCCCCCACCATCGCCATCGTCCATAAGCACATCCCCCGGCATGACTATTGCCCATAAGCTTATCTCCCGGCATGATCATTGTCCATAAACTTATCTCCCGGCATGACCATTGTCCATAGGCCCATTTTCAGGTATATCCGTTGTCCGTAAGCACATATTCAGATATATCCGTTGTCCGTAAGCACACCCTCAGGTAAAGCTGTAGTCCATAAGCACCTCCCCGCTATAAACGTCGCCCAAAAGAACATCCTTAAATATAGCCATCGTCCATCGTCCGTCCACTGTCATACATGAGTACGGTGGCCATACAACCTCTGTCCATGAGTATCTTCCTGATAAAATCCTCTACAAGCGCATCACCAGGTGTGGCCTGATCTCATAAGCACCTCCCTCGACATAACCATCTTTCACAAAGCACCTCCCTCTCGTAAAGCCACCGCCCACATGCACGTGCCCGCGGCACGCCTCACCTCGTTGCCCAGTTTGTCGGGCGTGTCTGGCGCGGCCGACGGCGGCCGACTGCGGTCAGGCACGACCGGGGTCTCCAGGGTGTTGGTGAAGCCTGGTGGCGGCCGGTACACGCGCCAGTACGCCCGCTCTTGACTCTCCGACACGATCTTGTCCCCCTTCTTGCGGTCTTTAGCCATCTTGAGCTGGCGGCGGGCAGGCAGTACCGGTGTCACGGTCAGACTACAAACGGCTGGTGTTTTTTGAAACCTATTTGCCGTTTTATTTTTTAATCCGCTCACGTATATATGACTAGTCGGTGATAACGCACAACCTTGCTCAGGTTCTATGGCACATTTCATCGCGGTCAAATACGTTGGCGCAGGGTGTGTCTCAGCAAAACGCCTCAAATACCACCTTGGTTTGATATCCGGACAGCGCCAATACGAGCCGTTGCGTGTCGTTCCACAATGCGGAGTTCCGGAGTTCTGAAGTTGCGTTCCGGAGTTACAGGGAGCGGCTCCAGCCAGACCGCGCCGAACTTGCGCCGACACTATACTAGACTAGCATAGTATGCTAGTATAGTGTAGTACTCTAATTTGGTGTGATATGCTAGACTAGTATAGTACACTTACATGTATATATATATATATATATATATATACATATCTATATCTATATCTATATCTATATCTTTATATCTATATATCTATATATATAGCATATAGTATCCTAGACAGATAAGTGTCCTGTCATATATCATGTATGGCGACGGCGGCGGTGAGGAGGGGGAGCAGTGCCCGCTCGTGGACGGTGAGGAGGGGGAGCGGTGCTCGTTCGTGGACGGTGAGGAGGGGGAGCGGTGCCCGTTCGTTGACAGTGAGGAGGGAGAGCGGTGCTCGTTCGTGGACGGTGAGGAGGGGAAGCGGTGCCCGTTCGTGGACGGTGAGGAGGGGGAGCGGTGCTCGTTCGTGGACGGTGAGGAGGGGGAGCGGTGCCCGTTCGTGGACGGTGAGGAGGGGGAGCGGTGCTCGTTCGTGGACGGTGAGGAGGGGGAGCGGTGCCCGTTCGTGGACGGTGAGGAGGAGGGGCGGTGCCCGTTCGTGGACGGTGAGGAGGGGGAGCGGTGCTCGTTCGTGGACGGTGAGGAGGGGGAGCGGTGCCCGTTCGTGGACGGTGAGGAGGGGGAGCGGTGCCCGTTCGTGGACGGAATCCACAACCGACGGTTCGCGTCATTAAACACGGGTAGAACGATCAGTGGCCACGAACGGCCGAGGCCCTGCGAGGAAGAGGATGGGCAGCACGCGGACGCGAACAGATCTGAAATCAAAGCCAACGACGGCACTCTAGATGTCTGTATCATTATAGGCTACACGTCACGCCCCTCCGGTGATGTAAAACTGTAGGCGAGGGTAGCTAGGTCCGCGTGTGAGGGTAGCTTGGTCCGCGAGCGAGGATCGCTAAGTCCGCCGGCGAGGGTAGCTAGGTCCGCGGGCGAGGGTAGCTAGGTTCGCGGGCAAGAGTAGCCAGTTCTGTAGGCGAGGATCGCTAGGTCCGTGGGCGAGGGTAGCTAGGACTGAGGCCGAGGGTAGCTAGGTCCACAAGCGAGATAGTTTGGTCTGCATGTGAGGTAGTCCACAGGTGAGATAGCAAGGTCCGCAGGCGAAGATAGCTAGGTTCGCCAGTTTACACCTTCGAATGGCGCGTTTAACGGAGATAAACTTGGTACTTAGTAGTAAGCACCTCTAACATTTAATCATGCAGCCCCGTGGGTCACAAGTAAAGGCTACGGCAGATCTGTTGCGTTCCTGAAGAATGCGACAGCATGTTGAGCAGCTGTTATCGGCAAAGAAACACGTACCAGATCACATTCCTCAAGGCGATGGATCTGCTTGTTTTTTTCTTCACGGCTTGGGTCCGCACACTCATATCGAGCAAATACAAGCCGTTTACGCTGCGTAGATCGCCTTGCTCACCTGACCAGAGCGTCCATTTGTGAGCGGGTGAGTGGACGAAAGGGTCATTTAACGGAAGAAGGATGGGAGAGGTCCCATATCTAACCTGCTCGTCCGCTTGCATAGCGACGAAGTCCCACTTCGAGGCCAGCGTCTTCTTCAGCTGGTTGTAGGTCTCCTGAAACACGCCAAAGTGACATCATTAAACGTGAAGACATTGCTTCTCTGTGGCCGCGTCACCCACTTTTATGGCGTATGCCTGTTGGAACAGTGTTCAATTATCACGTTGGAGACTTGGCGGGTGCGGCAGCGTTGCCACATGCGCGAGCGCTGGTGCTCAGCAGCTGCAACCGGCCAATGACCACGAACCAGTTCGCAGTCCTCCAGCCCGTGCTTCTGCTTGTTTTTTGATATTTTCTTGTGGAGATAGATGGCGTAGTCCGTGGAGTCCGGAACGTGATTTTGAGAGGGCCAATAGTAGGGTGTCTGGAACAAACAGGAAGCATGTCGTTGTACCGATGTTTGGCGGGTGAAACAGAAAATAGCAACGGAGTATTGGTGACAGCCCACATTTTACTCCTGCTCGCACATTATATTTACGAGGACGAAAGTCTGATTAATTTCTTCATCCACATCAGGGGCTTGTCAGAACTTCTCGGCAAACTTCTACGAAGTATTAAAAAAATAATCATTTAGTGAAAGACTTTTGTCTTCCCGACTATTTTGCTCTGCAGGAGAACTGAGGACAAGTGATTCTTGCTCAGAAGAAAAAGGACTTGTGGAGAGGCTGACGGTCGCCTTCCATTGACATCGAGAAACACAACACCTTCATTTTAATATGTAGAACTGCTGCAGCCGGCCGAGTAGTACGTCCCCGCAATCAGGCCAGTTCCCCGCTGCTGCAAAAACCCTTGCTGATTGTTTTGTCCGGCTAACATGTTCGCTATCTGACAAGCGTCTTCCCCCTCTCCCGCCTGTCTTCGTGGAACGCTAATGTTGTGCGACTTCCGTCCGCTCGTCACTAAATCCTGTTTCACCCCGCCCCTCGATAAAAAACGCCTTCCGCTTGGCTCCCACCTTCAGGAGCCCGATATTTCTCTGATCTATCAATCGCCGTGAGATTGAGCGCGAACGCCGTCGTATTTTCGCGTCGGCCCTCCGCCGGAAGCGAGAACACACGATTGCTCCGTTAAAGAACACACGATTGCTCCGTTAAATGGATCACGTCAGGGCCCATCCGGCTGCCCGGCCAGACCCGCTCTTCAGCCTTCCGTGCAGGGAAGGCCGCGGCAAATCGGATGAGAGGGAGAGGGGGAGGGGAGGGCAACACGAGCCGACATGTCGCAACAACCTGAGGTGTTGGATAAAGACGCAGTTCTGGTGATATGTGCCGTAGATGTTGTATGTGTAATGCAATGGGAAAATGAGAAACATTGTTTTACGATGATGATGCTATCGACAAACAAATGCATGCATGACGCCACGGGGGTTACGGGCCGTGCCGCGCTGTGAGGCCAGTGGTGCGATGTTAGGCCAGTGGTGCGTTGTGAGGCCAAGGGTGCGATGTGAGGCCAGTGGTGCGTTGTGAGGCCAAGGGTGCGATGTGAGGCCAGTGGTGCGATGTGAGGCCAGTGGTGCGAAGTGAGGCCAGTGGTGCGATGTGAGGCCAGTGGTGCGATGTGAGGCCAGTGGTGCGATGTGATGCCAGTGGTGCGATGTGAGGCCAGTGGTGCGATGTGAGGCCAGTGGTGCGATGTGAGGCCAGTGGTGCGATATGAGGCCAGTGGTGCGACGTGAGGCCAGTGGTGCGACGTGAGGCCAGTGGTGCGATATGAGGCCAGTGGTGCGATGTGAAGCCAGTGGTGCGATATGAGTGGTGCGATGTGAGGCCAGTGGTGCGATGTAAGGCCAGTGGTGCGATATGAGTGGTGCGATGTGAGGCCAGTGGTGCGATATGAGGCCAGTGGTGCGATGTGAGGCCAGTGGTGCGATGTGAGGCCAGTGGTGCGATGTGAGGCCAAGGGTGCGATGTGAGGCCAGTGGTGCGATGTGAGGCCAGTGGTGCGATGTAAGGCCAGTGGTGCGATGTGAGGCCAGTGGTGCGATGTGAGGCCAGTGGTGCGATATGAGTGGTGCGATGTGAGGCCAAGAAGCCGTGACAACAGCACTCTTGCATCAGCAGCAAACGTCTCCACGGGGTGGATGACTTGGATGAAATTTGGCGCCTGCCCCCACAGCTTCAGCGAGGAATTTGGTATTTGAACTTCGGTGTTGCACAATGAGAAATACATCCAAAATGCGTTCTGTTCCATCTAAAAAAGTCTCGCAAGTTCTCTGCCTCCACCGATCGAATCTGAATTTATCACATCTGTGGAATTCTGCCATACATCTGGCCACGACCAGGCGTCCAGAAGCGGTCATACATCTGGCCACGATCAGGCGTCCAGAAACGGTCACCTTGCGAGCTTCGGGCACACAAAGCGGCGCGGTCAGCCCTCCGGCGGAGCGCCGTCTCTGGCCACGCCCGCGCCTCTGAGGCCGAGTGCGACCGGCCGGGCTCGTGGCTTTCCGGCAGCTATTCGTGGCTTTCCGGCGGGCACTGGCGGCTGATCCCATCTGGCGATCAGCGCGGCCGCTTCTGCTCCGGCCGCCGGCCGCCCGTCACTGCCTGGTCGCAGGCCTCAGGGATGACGTCGGATTTAAAAGCTTCCGGGACCCACTGACAGCAAGAGCCGTCAGCGATGTCGCCGGCGCTGGGAAGGGACGTCGCCGCCCCGGGAGCGTGGGGTTCGCAAGGTGCCTGACGTCGGAAGGGGATCTTTTACTAAGGATCTGGTGTTCGCTCTGCGCCACCAAAGGAGCTCATTCTCCGATGAAAACTCCGTGGTGGTGGTCGAACTGAACGATTTGCACAGATAAAGCGTTCAAATAGTTCAGGTTAAAACCAATGTCCGAACACCGCTCTCGTATGTTTTCTCAGTTGTATCAAACGCCTTTCAAGGCCTGCTCCAGAAGCAGCGCCCTCGTCTGCTGTAGCTGGTTCCGAACACCCGAAGCCTCACCACGCCGGCAGAGCAATTCCAGTTGAACGGATAATTCGGGCTGACAAGTTGTAACGCCGCGTGTAATGCAAACTGGCAGCTACCCGCAGGAGACCCCTGGCACCTCCCCCCCTCGCCACCCCCCCCCCCCCCCTCCCCTCTGCCCCGCCCAGCCCCCTTGTGACCAGCTGGCAGCTAAACGTTTGTGGCGTGCCAATTAATCGAACGCCATCTCTTGAAAGCAAACACACACAGTCCGTACCAAGGCGGTCGGGTATCCAGCCATCTGCCGGCTGAGCGACTGTACCTTTGGTGACCTTTTATGACCTTGACACGACAATGGCCTGCGGCCCCTGGCGGTCGTCATAAAACGTGTAATTTCGCTCCTGAGGTCAGCTGACATCGAGTGCAATTCTCGACTTCATCGGACAGAACGGTGAGAATTTGTGAATGACATCAAGTCCACGGCTGAATCAAACCGGGTTGGGTTCTATCGCCTTTGGAGGCCTGATCGGACGAAGCCAAAGGCACGGCGCCAAGCTTGCGCTATACACCGGGTGGAATTTGAGTCGGCTCCGGGTTCATCAGTGTCGTGTAGGCACAGTGTATCCGACTCTTTAAAACCTCTCAGATGATGGAAATTGACGGTAAGTCGCATTAATCACGGAGGAGTCGCCTCAAATAGAAAATCAGGTAGCAGACTGTCCTAACAATCTAGCAGCTTAGATACACGCCATGTAAACACTAGCCTACAATCAGCAATCGACCCCGCTCGCGGGGAACCAAACACAAGTCTACAATCGACCCCTTTCACGGCGAACCAAACACAAGTCTGCAATCGACCCTGCTCACCGGGAACCAAACACAAGTCTGCAATCGACCCTGCTCACGGGGAACCAAACACAAGTCTGCAAGGAGTGGCTTCTAGAGCGGCACCCGCAGTGCCAAACTGAAGTTTTCCCGCCAAAAATAAACGGCTCAACCGCGTCGTTAACCGACAGCTGTGAAAGATCTCTTGCCTATAGCGTTATTGATTATGACTTCATTTTTGGGTCATGACGTCACCCCCGACAGGCATCACTGACCTGGAACCGGTAGAGAGAAGAGTCGTCCTTGACCTGGAGAGTCTTGGCGTCTCCCACGGGGAAGAAGTAGCCGTGCTGACACAGCAGAGAGGCCAGGTGAAGGGCCTCGCCTGCGGACACAGGACGCCACCTGTCCAACCGCTGGCTGGTATGTGCGTCACGCCAGCTGGCTCTTTAGTTAGTGTGCTGACATTAGAAGACAATACAAATGTTACGAAAGTCTTGTGTTGATGTGTTATCTCCAAAGCGATTCCAGAAAGCATTCCCGAATCACTCTCCGATAAAATTTCCAAGCTGAGTGCACTTCCGTTGCCCGGAGATATTTCGTTTTTTTTCTTCTAGTTTGCCAGATAGGCAAAGCTATGTTTTACCTATTGAAGCTGCAGCGACACAACTCTTAACATAGCAAATCAATAACCGAAAGTATACGAGCACCGACGTTCCACACATAAGAAACGAGATGCCATGCATGCCATTTCTGGATATGCCGTTCATATAAAACTATCACAGATATGCATTTGTATTTGCACTGGGCATCTTTCGAATGCATCCTTGCATTGCTCGTTCAGATGACGTTGGGATAAACATACTGGTTAAGCACAGTCTGGTGCATGCACGACACCCCTGACGCCCAAGCGCTAAAACTCGGATGATGTCAATATAACCTGCTAGTCATGTAGTACTGGGGTTTATAGCACGCCCAACAATGCTATGAAATACGACTAGACGGTAAAGATTTCCCCTCCTTGTCGCCAAACGCGTGACCTTAGGTGGATTCGATACCACGTGGTCGTCGCGCCCCCAACTTAATTTGTCCGCCATTCACAGCGAACGGTGAGCGGCGCTGGCATTCTTGTATTTACAGGCTAACTCCCAACCTTTTGCGCGGACGTACTTCTGCTTTCAAAGCTCACGCTAAGCAGCGCTTGTTCTGTGAGCACTGACCCCACCATCCGAACTCAAAATTTCAGTTCAACGGGCACAGTTTTGTAGCGGAAGTTTTACTTGCCGCGACACGCGGCGCAGCCCGTCCTGCCACCTGAACTCCACCTGACCTTCACCTGACCCCATCCGATGTCAACCGGCCACTGCCAGCCGCCGCAGGCCATAGCAGTCAGGGGCATGTAGCGAGCGCATGTTGCGAGTCACACGCTCAACTGGCTACGGGCGGTTTGAGAGGCAGACGCTTTAGCCGATAAAGCTGCGGGTAACACTGCGGGTAGCACTGCGGGTAGCACTGCGGGTAGCACTGAGCCGCATCGACGCCTGCGTTATGCAATGATGTCTCATCATACTTTTAAATGCCGTGTCCCAACTCCATTACCGCGCCATGGAGTTGGGACATCGGTTTGCATCTCATCGCAAGGCTTTATCAAGGTTCTCAAAAATGCTTCGGGTTGTCAACAGCATTCTTCGATACGTTGTGGCCATTTTTACATGCACCGCCGCTGGCCCCGATGCGTACAAAATGGCGGCCCTCAGCGATCTGGTATGGCGTAGCACACGTGGGAGCCATGTATCAATTATCTGCACTAATATTTCACACTAAAACTAATTCATTTAATAGCCTCAATTATGTACCGAAATTCCCACTGCAATAGTCAATGCAGCGTGTTGCCACGAGGCAGCGCCACCTTCGTGAGCAGCCAACAAACACCATTGACGCACAGTCTGTCATGTCGATATCCCGCTAATGCGCCTGCCTTGTCCAACAGCGTAAACGCCTGTCTTTTGTTCGGCAGCTGCACTCTCACTGGCTGAGCCGACCAGCCTCGGCCCGGTCTTTTGATAATGCACTGTCCTGAGCTGGAACGTGTGACGTCAGCCAGGTCAGCCAGCCAGCTGACGTCAGCCAGGTCAGCCAGCCAGCTGACGTCAGCTAGGTCTTGTACAGATGCACTGTCAAAGGCGTAAAGGGAGTGTTTCACATTCACATGGGGTTCTGTACTGCAATAGCCATTTCAAAAAGCATTTGGTGCAGTTCAGAGCCCTAACCTTCCTCATGTCTAAGCCTTCTAGTCTCTGACCTACACACCCGCGAAGATGTACAGATGTACAGACTCACACCCGCGAAGATGTACAGATGTACAGACTCACACCCGCGAAGATGTACAAACTCCCGTGCAGACTATCTCAAGGTCACTGAGACATCCATAAAGTCATAAAAATACTGCCACCCAATTACTCACGTGGCATTCAAGGCCAAGAAAAATGCAACCGTCAAGTCGTCCACGTCTGACGTTCGTAAACACAGTGTCCCGGTACAACTGACACCCATTGGCTCTCAATCAGTGGTGTACAAGCAGTCCAAGTGGCAAACACGAATCGCGTTTTGTGCTAAATAATGTAAAAAGCAGGACATGGGTAAAAGTTATTACGAAAATAAGACCTGAAATCCAATAGCTTAAGAAAAGCGCAACAACCGAACATGTGAGTGTAAACAAATAACTTAAACTCACGGACAAATATTCAAAAGCTTCATGAGAATGGGGCAAAACACGAGGATATCACTCTATTTTCTTCAGCAAACACATCCAGCACCGCTACGGCAACCTCTCTACAAGTTGAAGTACTACAAGTGCGTGTTAGGGCGGCAATTTTGTACGGCCAGTGTGGCAGCATCTCTAACATCATAACAACCGTTCATGACATCGACAAACTATGACGTTTGAGGAACACGGATACTACGTAAAGAGCTGTGTGGTCTCGAGCGGTCTTTTCACTTAAAATAGTGCCCATAATTAGAAGTGAACTTCTGACATCTGATCCTTGCTTCCTCAATATCTCCAAATGTGCAACATTCCTTTTCACCGGCTACCACTGGTTTGCTCTGTCGTTGGGGTGGTATGTGGATGTATGAACATAAATGACACCTTTTCTAAATTAACGCGTTGTGCTTCTGTTAAAGCGTACAATTCATTGATGAATCTCCGTGAGACCCATCCGCTGGCATTATGCCGCCGTGCGTGCGCAGAAGCTACCGTCATTAGTCGCAGTCCATAGCTCAATTACCGATCATTTCACTCGCATCGGCAATGTATCGGTGACATCGGTGGCAACAATTTCGCACCCGCCAAATCATCGTAATCCCAATATATGGCCGTACATCTAAAAAACTTGCCAAACTTAACACGGAGTAAAGTTATCGCTGTTGATGTCGGCGTATGAGCCCCTTGCCCTGCCATTTTCCGGCAAGCCAATGATCTTTCACAGGTAACGAAGTTTTCCACAGCAGGACATAGCCCGACTTTTGAAAAAGGCCCATAAAAGTTGGAACGCAAACAACACGCCATAAATGTATTTTTAGTCTGCATCCGGTGGCAAAATAAGGTGCCGCTTGCATAAGCCATGCCACGCCGTCCACAGCTGCCCACTTCTGACAGGCGAGGTACCAACGGACGTAAATAAACCCAAACATGCGGCAGAAATCCTCGTTTAATATAGCGTCCCATTTTTCCGCAATATCGTGTTAGCATAGAGAGCACATGCACTTAAAGAATGTTCCTAAGAGTGTGACCTTAAGAGTGTGACCTTTGATCCCAGATGTGACAGCACCAGTGGCACGAGAGTCGACGGACTGACCTGTTTTACGAAAGGATTGAGACGAGATATGAGTATCACAGATGAAATAATTGTTCGACCTGTCCTCTCGCTAGGCGTTGTCGGTAGCTCCGTTAGTAGAGCACTGGGCTCGCAATAAAAATGACCTTACTTTGAATCCTAATATATACCTAGGCAAACAGTAAAAAGCGAATAAATATATTAAGTAAATCGATATAAATAAACAAATTAGCAATAAACACACACTTCCATTCAAAGGAAATGCCGGTTAGTGAATCACCGATAAATACAAGGATCGAGGATATTTCAGCGGGACGTAAGGCAACATTTCGTATCCGCCCTCGAGTTATAAAGAAGCGAGGCGTCATGTCCCAACAAGGCTGACTCCCGTTGTCCCGATGTCTGTGACGCTGAGCTGGCAGCTCAACGTCGCATTAAACTCCATAGGGGGCTGAGCTTGGGCCAACCAGCCAACCGGCACGCAGAAGGAGTGGAAAGACGGAGCTATTGACCATGGGAGAACTGTTTCCGTCCAATCGCTGTTGTCTTCATCGGGACCGGCTCAGTCCTGAGGGGGTTTTAAACGCGTCGCACTGGGTCCATACTTCTGCAATGCCCTCCCCCCCCAAAAAAAGCGTTCTACTAACCCATATACAGCAGGACACCCACATCTAACCCCGGCTCGGTGATCCCTCCCCGCAATATCACAGTCCTGGGAGCCCGCTCCGGATCGGTCAGCCCCTTCCAGCCCCCCCCCCCCCCCCGACCCCCCACCCCACCACCACTGCGCGAAGAGCGCGGCCAGCCACCTAGCGGTCGGGACACCCCCTGCCCACCATCCCCACCGCCACCTGCGCGGAGAGCACGGCCAGCCACCGAGCGGAGAGCGCGGCCAGCCATCGAGCGGAGAGCACGGCCAGCCACCGAGCGGAGAGCGCGGCCAGCCACCGAGCGGAGAGCGCGGCCAGCCATCGAGCGGAGAGCGCGGCCAGCCATCGAGCGGAGAGCGCGGCCAGCCATCGAGCGGAGAGCGCGGCCAGCCACCGAGCGGAGAGCGCGGCCAGCCACCGAGCGGAGAGCGCGGCCAGCCATCGAGCGGAGAGCGCGGCCAGCCATCGAGCGGAGAGCGCGGCCAGCCACCGAGCGGCCGCAAGGCTTCCGCTCGATACGCCCCGGCCGGCGGCTGGCCCAACCCGGTCTGCCACAGCCAGCGCTGTGCCCAGCTTGCGCTGTGCCCAGCATGCGCTGGCTGGCCCCAGCCGCCGCCAGGCACGTCCCGCTGGCGGGCGGTGTCCCCCTCCCCCCTCCCGCCGATGGTCTGGCGGCCGAGCGGCCGTCCCGACAGCGACGAGCTCATTAGCCCGGGGTCACGGGCCGCCTCGTAATGCCCGCGGCGGACCCCCAAGGTCACTGCTCCGGCCGTGTGCGGCGCGTGTCGTCGACCTGGTGACGCTATGGGGGAGAGGGGAGGGGACGGCAGTGACGAGACTAAGGACGTAGGGGATGGGAAGGTGGGCAGATGGAGGGATGATGATGCCAGAAATTGACA